TGCAATCATACATGGCAAATGCTGTTAGGACACTTAGTCCTCATGAAGTTGAGAACCGAAAACATACCACCATATATTTTTGACATTTAAATGAATGGAACTAGAAATCCAAAGCACACTGAACTGGCTAATACGAAAATATGTCAAAATAAACACACTCTTTAATGCATTCATGATTCAATGGTCAGATGATTTTAAAAAGTTAAGATGGTCAATACTATCCACAGTGACATACAAAATTTATCAATGTCTTCATAATAGTCCTATCATACTTGTTGAGATATGAAAATAATTCAAAGTGTATTGGAACAAAAAATAGTCAGCTTTAGAATACAAAACAAGGAGGATAGCACTTCTTGATTTAAAACAAATCTACAGAATAAAATAATGAGCTACTGGCACAAAGCACAAATAATGAGATGAAACAACAGAATGGAGAAACCCAGAAATAACCTTTTCCATGACAAAATTTAGGTTCCTCAAGATTGCAATGCCATGAATGAAAGGAAGAGTCACTTCCACGAATGTGTAGAAACTGAATATTTATGAGAGAAAATGATGTGGTACCTTCCCTTCCCTATATAGAATATATCTTAATAGATTAAATACTAAAACATAAGAATAACATGTAAAACTCTTAGAGAAAATATAAAGGAAACAACATGATATTGGTCCTGGCAGTGTTTTAGCAGATGTAACATCAAATGCATAATCAAGAAAAAGGAAGAGAAGAAAAATGTCATTCTATCATTCTTCAAATTTTCTGCACAAAGGAAAAACTCAGTGGAGTCAGAATGCCTCCTACAAAATGGGTTAAATAGATGCAAATCACATATTTGATAGAAGTTAACATTGTGAATCAGTAAACAATGATCAAAATTCAAAAACAAAGGTGAATAACGTTACTAACAAATGGACAATAGATTGATCTCGCATTTCTGCAAAGAAGATATACTTATTGCCAAACATAATTTGAAAGCATTCTAGAAATTGTTAATCTTTAGAGAAATGCAAAACAAAATCACAATGAGATATCACTCCACACCCATTAGATTGAGAACTTTTAAGTAAATAAAAGCATATGCAGATACATACATATGGTGAGAATGTAGACAAATTGAAATGCTACTATGTTATTCTGAATCTTTGATTCTAAATATTATAAAAATTGAAATATAATAGATCACAAATTTAAAATACATTAGGAGAGCAAATCAGCTATATCGTGGGAGGGGAAGGATCCACTTGTTTTTTTTTTTTTTCCCCAAAGAACAACAAAAATTTGGCAGCCATTGAAGGACAATTACAATTATCTGAATTTGAGGACTGAAATGGAAGGTCATTAAACTCTAGTGGAACCATAGATCTGGGAGGGTCATTTTGAGTATTCAGGCTCTCATCCAGCTGACAAACTTAAGGACCCATTGTCCTGAATACAGACTGCAACATGGGTCAACCATCTTGGATACACAGAGTCTCCAATGGTTCCCTGTGACAAAGTGGGAGTGGTGCTGCTCATCCAGAGACTTTGGGAGAGACAGGCGTATATGCAGCCATTGAAGCAGACCTCAATAACTTGGTCTTGCTATCATCTGTAAAGTAGAACTGTGACTCTACTACAGCAGTCTCAACTATAGTCCATGTCCAGTTCTTTCAGTGCATAGATCCACACAGTGACCTGCAGGGACTCTTCCAAGGTACTCCTTGGGAGCCACACCCACCCACATATATGGGTTTAGCCCCAAAATATGCAGACTGAAATGCACAACCATGCCCTAGTATGTGTCATACACATCAAAATCCTGAAGGCAACCAGTATACCCAGCAACAAGAGAGGATAGAAAATCACCCAAGCCCTTTGGAACGGGCCCACCAGATGCAGACTCCACTGAAGAGCAAGCGGCAGTCTTGTGACCTAGCTACAGCAACTCTTCATTGAAAACCTAGTTGAGAGACCTTTAGCCTTAGTACTCAAAAGAAAAAATCTTTACCCTCCAAAACCAGTTTATAAAATCTGGAAAATGTATTTAATTCTTCACATGCACAGATACCAATATAAAAATAATGTGCAACTTCTCTTAATGCTTCTATACTATCATAACACTACAAGACATAAGTACAAAAATTAAGCAAGAACATGACAAGAATCCACTCATGTTAGAAAGAAAAAAGTAAAAATTACACTATTTGCAGATGACATTATCTTATATATCAAAAACCATAAAGAGGATAGGAAGAAAGCTTTAAAAGTAATAAAACTACTCAGTTAAGTCACAGAATGTAAAATTTACATACAGATATCAGTTGCTTTTCTACACACTAATAAAGTAGAAAATAAAAAAGGAAAACAAACACTCTCATGTAAAATACCATCAAGATAATAGATTCCTAAGAAATATATTTAACCAAAGTTGTTTAAAAAAAACCCTTCACACTGAGTACTATAAGATATTAATAAAAGAAATTGAAGATGACATGAGAAAATAGGAAGATATTATCCAAAGCAATGTATACATTCAATGTACTCCCTACCAAAATTCCAGGGGCATTACTTGACAGTATTAACCAAAAAATCCTAATATTTGTATGCTATCACAAATACCATTGATGACCCCTAAACAATAAGGCAAAAGGAGAAAAAAGGTTCCAGCATCACACTTTATGATTTCAAGTTAAATTTTAGTGAGAGTAATAAAAACAGCAAAATATGCACATAAAAAGACCAAATAACATGGAGGAATGGAGAGCTCAGAATAAATTGAAACACATAAGGTCAACTAACTTTAATCTAAGCTTAGGAATGCAAGATGCAAGAAAGTATGGCTCTTCAATGCTTGGTGCTGAAACTGATACTCAAAACAAATGAATAAAAGCAAACTATTTTTTCGTATATGATGACCCCAAACTAAACTCCAGATATACATCAAGATTTAAATGGAATACTATAAACTGTAATGTTTGTAAAAAAAAAAAAAAAGTATCAAGGAAATGAAGGAAATATGGAAAACCTGACATAAGACTTGCAATTTTTTTGTATATGATAAATAGCCAACTAGAAAAAAACACAAAAATCTGACGATTTTGGCTGCTCAAACGTAAATCATCGCACAGCAAGGAAAAAACCAAAAAAGAAAACATATAGGACAAAAGAAAATATTTTCAAATTTATATTGCTTCATAATATGTTAACACCAAAATACATAGAAAATCAAATGTTTTCAAATGCAAAACAATGTCATCACCCACTTCAAAATAAGCAAAAGTTGATGTAGATTTTTTTCAAAGAAAACATACCAGTTTACAACAGGAAACACGAAGAGTAACTCAGCATCACCAAAACATCATGTAAACACAAATGAAAACTATGATAAGGTATCACCTCACAACTGTTAAATGACTAATGTCCACAAGAAGAGACATAATAAGTGAGGACAAGAGTGTGCAAGAAGCAATCCCCTGTCACTGTTATTGATTGTAAATGGACAGTGTCACCATAAGAGATTGTTAAAAATGTAAGTAATACAACTGCCTTGTCATTCACCATTTCTACCTATGAGTATAACCATGAGAATCAGTATCTTAAGAAGATTCTGCACCTCCATATATATTGCAGCATTATGCACATTTGCCAAGAAAATGGAAACAAACTAAATGCCTGCTTTGATGAATAGAATAAAAATGACTGTACAAACACTAGCATATTACTATTACTAAGCCATGAAAATGATAAATATCCTGCCATTTCAACAACATGGATGTACATAGCAGGCATTATGCTAAGTAAAATCAGCCATTCCCAGAAAGATAAATATTGCTATGGATAATTATTTTTAAAAAGTTGAATTTACAAAAATAAAGAGTACAACAGTGGTTTCCAGGGTGTAGAGTCAGGAAAAATGAGGAGATGTTTAAGGGTAAAATCTTTTAGTTATAAGATGAATAGATCTTGGAGATCTATTGTATGGCAACATGATTAGGGTTATTAATAATGTTTTATATGCTTAAAATTTGTTAAGACCATAGACCTCTCTATTAATAAATTTTCTCAGTATAATTAAATGGTAAATATGTGAGATGATGGAATAATTTATGCCCTTTATTATATTGTTTTACCATTTATACACACATCTGATCACTACAGTGTGTACAATAAATATATACAGTTATACAATTCTTATTTGTGGAAACTTCCACCCATTAAACACCCCCCACACAGAAATATATGCACACATACACACATATGAATGGCACAATTCTGATGCTAGTAAACAGGAGGAAATTATGGAATATAAGTTATCAAAATATTGTGAATCTATTGGGAGTATAAATATATTCACATATGTGAAGCACTGAATGAGACAGATTATTTAGGAATTCTATAAGGTGAGTGTGCAAAATAAACTATATTATCATTTTGGTATTTGGCTATAATAAAGTTGAAAATTTACTCTTATTTATACTAGAAAAGATTATTTAGAAGTGAAATAACATTAGATTTTCTTATATTTAGGCAGAGGCGATGCATTTGTACAAAGTTAGTAGCCTGACTTTCTGTAGACTTGCCTCTGAAAACTTAGAATTGGAAATTATGATGCATAAAATATGACTATCTGTCCCTAGGGTGTCTGGTATTACAGAAACAAATCCAAATATCTCCACTGTTCCCCTTTACACATTTCAGAAATGACCCATCAAAAGGAACTTAAAACATGGAGCTGGGCATGGAGGATCACACCTATAATCGCAGCACTTTTGGAGACCAAGCAAGAAGGATTACTTGAGGCCAGGAACTTACACCAGCCCTAGTAACATAAAGAGATTCCATTTTTACCAGATAATAATAATAATGAAAAATAATGGCTGGCCATGATAATTCATACCCATAGTTCTAGCTACTTGGAAGACAGAGGTTTTAGGATCCCTGGAGCCCAGATGTTTGAGTTTTCAGTGAGCTATGATCAGCCACTGTAGTCAAGAAATGGCAGGAGAGCAAAACCCTGTCAAAAGATGGTTTAATGTAGTGGTCTTCAAAATATGCACAGATAGTCCCATAACTCCTAAACAATAGAAATGCTAATAGATAATGTAGTCCCTTATAAGCTATCACAAGAAGTATGGCTCTCACTGACTTCTAAGGATGATCACTTCATGGGTAGAATTCTTAGAGAGTTAAAGAGTCTGGGACAAAAGATGTCCTTCTGGAAGATAAAGAGCACCTTACACAGGCTTCTAAAAATCATTTCCAACTGAACAGAATATTCCAAGCCACTTTTAAATATCTGCCTTCCTCTTTGAGATATACCTCTCTAACATTAGTTATGTGCTTCACTGAATCTCACCTACCTGGATATTTAACTATTGTTTCCTCTTTCTTCATAATCCAGGGCTCTATCCTTTGCTCCAGACATGCAATCAGCTCTGGCTTTGAGACAGCAAAACCTGTTTCATTAGAAAAATTTCACATGACTCTTACTGAAGACTTTCCAATTACTAATGCAGTGCTATCCTTAGTAGACACAACATTACAGAAGATTCGATAAAATACCTTTGCAACATATTGTTTTCTCATAGACCCTGTAGAATGACAAAAAATTATTTCTAATTTATGACGAGAGCACCAATTCCCACTAGCACCAAATAAATAAGAGGTGGAAATTCTATTCTAAGGTGCAGGCAACTATTATATACCCTGATTTCTAGAGTAACCACTAATCTAGTGTGAAATATACATATTGGCCCAAGAAAGGGAAAGGTTTAAGATAACATGAGACATCTAATAATTTTATTTTACAGAACAACAATATTCAAAGTTTCTGTAAAAGCATGGATATAAAATTCATTCATGTAAAGTAGAAACCTTTAAGAAAGTATCTACAAAAATAAAATAATGTCCTTAATGTGGAATAGGAATTTGGTATATATGTGATCCTTACCAAGGGAGACCAGGTTTCAGTAGTTCTCCAACATCACATCCCTATACAAATTCCGCTGAGCATTGTCAAGGCATGCCCACTCCTCTGGAGAGAATTCTACAGCCACATCCCTGAATGTCACCATCTCCTGTAAAAAGACACATATTTCCCAAGTGGCCATAGAGAGAGTTATTCACTTGACTACAAGGAAAATGAGTTATGAGAACTGTTTCTGACATATGAGTGACTGGAATTATCCAAAAAGATATTTTCTAGCACATTGATATTCTTGAATATATTCTCTTATCCACTGGAATGAGGATCACAAAAGATCTATGAAATTTTGTGCATATGATTCTGCTATGGATGATAAAGTATTTAATACAAAATTAAGGGCCTTACAATGGTAATATAAATTTATGGGTGTTATATTTATATCACCTCAATAAATTGTGTATATTTCTCACATGCAGGATCATAGACAGAAGGTATCACCTAATTTTTACAAGTACAATAAGTAACTGGAGATTTTGTTAAAATACAGCTTCTGATTCAGATGATCTGGGGTGGGGTCTCAATCTCTGTATTTCACATAATATAACTACTGACAACAATGCTTCTTGCCTAAGGAGAGTATTTTGTCAATATCCGGAAAGTGGTAGACTTTGAATTTATCTCAGTTCATCTGAACAGAACACAGATAATAGCCCTCATTTTTCAAAGCAAGCTATAAGAAGAAATTAGAGCTTCTAGATTAAATGTAATGGCTCATGCACATCAGTCAGTAAATCTCCACAAGACACTTAATGATAAAGAAAAAAAACAATTAACTTTATATTGGATGACTCTGTCAGAAAGCACCTTAAGCAAGTGAATGAAATTAGCATAACTTTAGCAGAATGAATTGGTGTTAGGCATTGTTGCAAAGAGGAGGATACAAAATCACTGCTGGGATGGTAGTGGCCAACAATATGTAACCATGAAGAATCATCAGATTTATCCAAATTTCAGATACAGATACTTCCCATGTTTTATCTTTAATAATGTATGTAAATACTTTAGCATCATACGGAGCAAGTCTTTTATTTTATAGTTTTTCCATAATTTTCTGGTTATCTTAGGCAATCAATCCTATCTTCTTTCTGAACTTTCCTAATAATATATTACGTAGAGATGATGAAGCATCTAGATCAAACTTTGAGAGTACCTGTTTCCCTTCCTCACTCAAATCCAAAGACTCTATCCTATCCCCAGTGGGAATCTCAAACATTCACATTATTCTATCTTTACCTCTCACGATGGGAACATTTTTAATATTATATGCCATATATTTCTTAGAAAACATGGTTATTGTAGTAACAAGCTTGTGGGAGAGAATGTACAGCAGGCTCTGTTATATAGGAAGGAAAGATTTCCCAGAGAACCTTGACTACCATAAGAAGAAATAAAAAAATGTAGTTACAAAACTTATTAGGCATACACATCAGAATTAAAGAAGTAAAGGTTTACAAGTTCAAAAAATTTACATTCTATATGACTATCTGGAAGAAATAGTGGACACAATGCCAAATCTGGGACACACTTACCTGATAACCAGCCATTTCTTCTTCTTCTTCTCCTACTCTGAAATTTCTTTTCAGGTGAGATTGTGTAGAACAATTACAATTAAATCTTTAGACTGACCTGAAAGGAGTCAGCACAATTTATTCACTTGTTTACACAATATTCACAAGCAGGAGGAACATAAAATGCAGAAAGGCTACAATCACTTGTTTTTCGTCACAGGAAAGATTCAGCTATGATCAGCTCCTTCATGGAGACCAAAATGAGAGGTTTTCCTGTCTTTTCTTCTGGATACCTGCCTCTGCCACAGGTGCCAGGAGTTTCTGCCACAGGAATGGGAATCTGGACCACACTGATCTGCCTCTACCAAACTCAACAGAGAAGAAACTGTGACTTATCTCTGGTACAAAGGCTAAACTCAATTATCATGAATGTATGCAGGAGTCCTATTGCTTGACAACAGTAACAAATTAGAATTACTTGGGGCACAATTAAAACCACATGGATGTTCCCACCCAGCCCAACAGGCAGGTGATGGTGTTCCTTCAATCTAGCCAAGATATCCTAATTGAAAGCCTGGGCTGAGAGGTAATTACCTTAAAATTGTCTCTGAAACATCACTGTGAATATAAATCATGTAGTACTGTGGGCCTCACTCTGAGAAACGTGGTCAGCTGGTGTGGAAGGGGTACATTCATTGGGTTCTTTGTCAGGTCCCCTTTTAGTGCTGATGTCTCTCAACCTAGATCCATTATTAGTAGCACTCAGGTAGAGAAAACAAGCACAGCATACATACTGCCTTTTGCCCAACACTCATCACAACATACACTTAATTTACAAAGTGAAGAGCAGCATAATGCAATGTACACTGAGCATGTGCTATGTGCTCAGAAGTATGATTTTTTGCACTGTGAAGAGCATTTATATAGTGTGATTTAATCCTTGTTATACCAGAAAGATAAGTAGTAAGTGTGCAATAATTTACAGAAAAATTTAGATGTGGTGCCATTCTTTCTATTCTCACATAATTATGACACTACACAAGATCTAGAAAATTCTTTACACTCACTCCAAATAGGTCCTTTCAAAATCAACTTACAAGTCCATGTTGATCTCTTACACTGAAGCATTTGTCTCCCCTGAGATTTTGGTCCTTCCTCAGTCCATAGTATGTCACTGTCTTGTGAATTTCAGGTTCAGGCCAGGTCTAGTTTGGATTGAACTTTTGTATACTTTGCTTTTACAGAGAGGGAATGAAAACAGGAAGAGAAATTACTCTTCAGAAGCTGCTCTAATGCATCCCGAGGAAACATGGATTCAGAATTCAGAGCTGCAGATTTAGGTCTCTAGAGAGGCATGAATTCAGAAGGACTCACTGCACATTTCCTTGCACTGGGGCAAGAACAAAAGGCAGAAAGGGAGTTTGTGTGTCCAACCCAGAGCTCATTATCTTGTTCCTGTTTGTGTCTGAGCCCCATGGTCTCTAAATCCATTTCAGTGCTAAAGATGTGAGATTCATTTAGAGAAAGGATAGAACTAGTGATTATTATCCTATGAGAGTATATTCATAGGAATCTCTTCTAAGTATGCTCTGGGGGGCAATAGACACCAAAGAGGCCTAGAGAACTTACTGTGTGCAGGTGTTGGGACAGTGAAGCTCTGTGCTGCAGAGTTGCAGGTTATAGACTGGAAGCTCAAGCAGGAATCTAGTGTTCAAAGCCCTTCTAATTTAGAAGTGGTGGACACATTTTATGTTTATGTTGCATTTTTAATTCTGGAAAGTGTTCAGGAAATATTAAAAGTCAAGAGTCTCCAAATAAGAAAACCTCTTCACAAAGTTAAAAGGGAATTAAAAGAAAACCCTTTTATTACTCAATTAAAGCAGAATGTGATGTGCACAGTGACAATCCACTGAGAGATTGCAAAAGGACACATAAAGTCGTTCCTGTATATAACTAAGCATATTCTAACTTTTACATACATGTTATCTAGATAAATAATAATTAGCTTTGAAGAAAGAAGTCTAGACAGCCCTATTTGTCCTAATCAGTGCACCATAAACTTACTGGGTAATTAGTGAGACTCTGTTTTTGATAATTGGTTAAATTCAAATAAAAAACAAGCTTCTGAAGTTAATGCAGGAGGAGATAATTTTGCAACTTAAAGCTAGGTGCTCACTGAAGTTTGGATCCCATCTTCACATGGAAATTGTGGGATAGGGAGCTATGTCCTTGATATTTCATTTGAAAGTGATGTTTCTTGGTTTCAGAAAAAGCATTTCTTTAAAAAAAACCTTTTAAAAATCTTTCAAAAGGATTTACAAATCTTAAGAAGATAGTTAGTATCTCTAGTCCTTCTTGGGACAATGGTGCCCTGTTTTGGTGCTGTTTCCATCAATTGCTCCAGCTGTGGAGATGGATAAGGCTGCCATTCCAATTTGGTGCTGCTCCACCCTTAATTCTACCCTGAGCCACTTTTACACCTGAGGAAGGAGGGAAAGTTTTATCAATATAGCGTTTCCCCAGCCAAGACGTAATAAGATTTGCAAAGTGACCTAGGTTATCCTAAGGGTAATGAACATGTCATTACCCTTAATCTGCATTGCAGTTCCCCCTCCCCTGTGGGCTTTCTTAGAGGGAGCTCCTATAGTTTGATGAAACTTTCAAGACACCTGTTGATTATTTGATAAGCACCTACACCTCCGAAGATACAAATTCTGATGAAACAAAATTAATGATTTACAATTTTAAAGTAAAAAAATAAAAACCACCCAAGAGCCCATCAATTCATGAGTGGATTGTTAATATTGGGCATATGTTTACAATGAAATATTACTCAATTTTAAGAAATGACAGTTAGCTGGCACTACTTATATTTTACTCAATTGAGTGAGCCCAATATCCGAATCTAAGTGACACAAGATCAGAAGAATGGGGCTTCACATATACTTGCCATCAAATTGGTACTGACTGATTAACACTACAGTGCTCAAATGGTGGTGGTGCTCACCAGGGATTCAGGGCTGGGGGGTAGACATCAAAGAAAAAAACACGACTGGTACCCTCTTAATTTACTGAAATACAAATAAATTTGGCTGTCCTGATTTATTTTCACAGCAAAACAACATACAAGTGTTTCCTTTTCTCCACATCCTCACCAGAACTTAGCATTCATCATATTGAGAATAGGCATTCTCACAGGTGTGGGGTAATAGCTCACTGTGACTTTAACTTTCATTTCCATGACGATTAGATTGGTTGAGCTTTTTGACATATAGCTGTGGAACATTCATTTCTGATTTTTGAGAAATGTCAATTAGTTTTATCACATCTTTCCCAAAGTATGCCTAGATAAAATGATTACACTGTGTCCAACATTTACATATACAATTATTTCTCAAATAAAAGCAAAAATATAGCAAAATAAATAACAATGACCAAATAAGATGATTGCACAGGAATAAGAAATGGATATTTGATATAGTACACAAATAAGCCACATTCCAAATATATTATATTGGAGTACAAATACAAAAATGAATAAAAGGAAGAAAATGACCAATTTACATATCGACTTTCAAGACAGGATCATTTCTGTGTGTCTATTATCTGTTCTTCAAAATATCTGGCTTTATAGTTAAATGCATATGAATGTCTCTCTACATATGGTAAACCTACCATTTTAATGTATATGTTTCATTGTTTTAGATTTGGATTTTCAGTGGAAATTTAAATATGTCATATTCCCTATTTTCTGAGAGCTCTCCTGGGGGCTCAAAAGACAACCACGTTTGTCAGATTGTAGATGAGAGGGTTTAGTATTGGCATTAGGATGGTGTAGATGCAGTGACCACTTCTACTGCCCAGGGGAATGAGACTGTTCCAGAAGGTACTTGGTAATGGCAGCCACATAGAATAGGGACTCCAGGGGCATGTGAGAGAAGTAAGTATCCCGGGTTTCTATGTGCCCCAGGCTTGAGACTGTCACCAGTCGAGTGGACAGTGTAAATAAATAAGAGGCCATAATAGCTAAGATAGGAGGGAAGAGAAAAATAACACCATGGATAAAAAGACCCTTATATAGAGGAAAGTGTCAGAAGAGACTAGTTCAAATACAGCTGGGATCTGAGAAACAAAATGAAGACCTTCCTTGGAAGTGAAGTAATGGAAAGTCAGAGGGCAGAGCACATGGATCAAGGCATTTAGCACTGTCCTCAGCCAAGATGGAAGCACCAGGAGAACACAGAGGACATGGGGAATGTGGATGGGGTAGCACAATGGGTGACAGATGGCCACGTAGCAGTGCTAAGCCAGGACGGCCAGCATCTGACACTCTGCTGCTGACAGGGTGATGAGAAGGAAGAAATGAATGCCAAAGTCAGTGAGAGAGATGTGATGATCCCTAGAGAGGAAGTTGAGGGCCATTTGAGGAACAAACATGAACATATACAATTGTTACATGAGAGATGGCTTGCTGATCCAAAAATATATAGGGCAGTGGAGAGGTGGGTAGGGCCAAATTAGGAGGATGAATGTGGTGTTTCCAGAAAGGACCGGGAGTTCCAGCATGGTGAGGACAAAAAGAATCGAGGAATCCTGGGTTCTGCGAAACAGGCCTATAGGATGACACAACCCTTGATGTCAGGTTCTTCTGCTGTGCTTGTTCCTTTTTTGTTAACTTTGAAGACAGTTTGAAAGAGCATCATGTTCACAATCTGTACATAATTACACCAAATTAAGTCACTTAAGGCACTTTCCAGCAATTCAAATTCATTTTTGCCTTGCCCTTCTTCTTTTAGTTTCAGTAAATAATTACATTTGCATTTCACCAGGATTTACTAAGGAATCATAAAAGAGTTCTAGAATATGACACTTGACACATTGGAAGAGAGGGTACAACCACTGTTGCCTTTGAACCTGTAGTTTTGAAATATTTTTTCCTTAACTAAAGTTCTAGGAATTGAAATCCACTCACAATTATACTAAACATTCTGAAGAAATAAATGCAATAAAAATTTCACTGTTTCAGTTACACTCGACATTTTTCAAGAGCTAAATAGCAATATGTGGTTAATGACTACACCTTATACTACAGCATGGATACCAAACATTTTGAGTATTGAAGAATGTTCTCTTGGATGCCAAACAGAAACCAGCCATGGGAAAAGGCAGTACTGGCCTATACATAAGACAAACCCACAAGACAGCCAAACAAGTTTAGTCAAAAAAGATCTACACTCAGGAGTGTACATGGTAACAGAAGAGCAAAATCTACATTCATCCATTCAGGTCATAATTCCTACTGCACTGGAGAAAAGGCTGGAAACAAAACAGAGAAGGCTCCTAGACTCCCTGAGCTTTCATTCTGTTTGTGGTGATTCACACAAATATATACTGTCAGATAAATGTAACTGTGAGGGAGAGGAGTAAAGCAGGATAAGTGGAGGGAGAGTTCATGGTGGGGTGGGGTGTGGGTGATATCTCCCTAGGGAGATCCATTTGAGCAGGGGCCTGGATAAAGGTAGTGAGTGCACTGTGTGAGGATAGGTGGGTAGAAACTGAGAGTGAGGTTGGTGAGTTGTGGCTCAACTGGAGTGAGCATCATGGAGAGTAGAAGGAAATGAGCAGGGGACAGTAGAGAACAGGGACCCTATACTGCTTATCTCAAACTCCTACCAGTAAAATCTTTGGGGCATGCACCCCTAATTCATGCATATAGAGAGTCTTTATTTACTAGTATCAGTATATTAGCAAAGCATCATCACTACATTTAAGGATACAAGTAAACATCAATACAATTTCTAATATTCTCTCACATTACCACAATGTATCATTTCCCTGAGGGACAAGAAGTGAGCAATTGTTCTTCCCTATATTGTCCTAAAGTTGCCAGAAGGGATTAATTAAAATTGCTTGAATGGACCAAATTTTTGCCACTCAGGATATAGCAATATTCTTCACAGCCGAAAGCTCCTATAAGCAGTGCAAACACTTCCATAAAAAAGCCATTTGGAAAAAAGTGGTATAGCATACTTATAAGTACCACTTTTGGACAAATCAAGCTCTTCTACTTGCTGTATAAATTTGAACAAGTTCTTTATGCTGACTGACTCTCAGGTTTCTCATTTGTAAAATGGGAATTGGACTTAATTTTTTCCTGAAATTTGTGACTGGGGGCTCCTAAAGAAAACCAGGTATGTTATAAGTAAAGAAAACACACTATATTTTATCTCTGTAGTCAGTCTTTTATGGACTGTAGTTAATTAGGCACAGGAGATGGGGAAAAAGTTTAGGAAGAAAAAAAAACCAATGTTTGCATAGGTAAAGTAGTAGAAAATGGCATGGTGTAATTACGAATTCCATTTATTTGTAAATGGTGAGAGAGCATGAGACATGTGTAGGATCCTTCAGCAGTGGTTGGTGCATAGTGGATACTTAACCATTTATGAAAATAACACAGGCAGAATGATGAAAGAGATTATGGAAGGAAACTATTAGGAATTAGAGTTCGATCCTAAGGAACTTTCTATACTGATTCTGAGAGCTCAGAAACCGTGGGAGCCACTGAAGAATTTTGTGAGGGGATTGCTGTGATAAAACTGGCATTTAGCATCCCTCTAGCTAATAGAAGTGTAGGGGATGGGTTGCAGGGGCCAACTTTCAGGAGAAAAGCATAGTGTTGGGAACCCAATCAGACCAATCAATGTGGCAGTGACTGGGGCCCTGCTGAGGCTTTGGCATGAGGAAGGAGAGAGGTAGATTCAGGTAATATTAGAGGTGAGATGAAGTGCACAATGGTATTTTTTTTACTGAGGTAGGAACATATGAGTCAGGTAACAGAAATATTAAGGAATCGATGGGACTTAAGCCTACTTACCATTTCTATAGGAGCATCGACTATAGTTGACAGCCACAGATGAAAACGGACAGCTGAGGATGGACTTTAGCCAACAGCCCTGATAATGAAGGTGCACAGCTGAGGTAGACTTTAGGCGACAAGCAAAAGCTTTTACTTTTACAGCTTTTATCTCTGTAGTTGCAGTGTGTATGTTCAGCAAATAAGTTACTAGAAATCTGTGACCTTTTAACAAGTCCTTACTATGAGTTATTATAGTTATTTTCCTAAAGCTGCCTATAATGTAAAGCAAGCTTTCAGTGCTTTAAACCTTTCCTCATCACACAAGAGCAAAACGGATTCGTTATCAATGTATGGCTCAAACTATCAGGCCGACTATTAGTGCCAGCAGAGGGCAATGTTTAACGGACAGTAAGCACAGTGCCAAAGTGGTTAAGAGAATGGAGTGAAGGATAGGCCTTGATAATGATCCTTGGGCTTTCAAATTCAGAGGATGAATGATTGGGTGTCTTCTGCTAATACAAGATGATCTGAAGTACCACACAGGGTGTGAAAGAAGGTCCAGAGTGAGCCTAGCTTTCCACCTGCTAAGTGTGAGTATGGGTTGCCCAGGGAAGACAACCACCTCTGGGTGGTGGTTTGTCGTGTGGACCTGAAGCTGCATTTTAGCACTTGTATCATTTAGGGGCAGCTGATGTGACAGGACTAGATAAAACTGCCCAAGAAGTGTGCGCAGTGAAGAGTGGAGGGTAAGGTGGTTTTATCAGGGGAGCAACACAGGCCTAGAACCTACTACCTGTGAACTTTCAAAGGTCTAAAACAATATCAGAAGCTTGACGTAAAACCTCTACCTTGTTAAAATCAAACTAAAACACAAACAAAAAGAAAACATAAAAACCTTGCAAAATATAATTATTTGCAAAGAAATATTATCAAAACCCATTATGCTTTTTTTCCTACAACATTATTGAATCACATTGCAGATGAATTTTCATATAGCTAATATGTGTAATGTAATGTGGAATGAGACCCCTTCCAAATTTATTATTTTTGAAGTCTATGAAAGAGGTTGGGGTGTGCAAAAAGGCATCTTCTCTTTCGCTGGCACCTGCAACCCCCATCCCTCAGCCCCTAATGCCTCCTTCCTGGGCTGCCCTATCCACACTTGCCCATTGTACCAATCACCACATCTCTCACTTTTGGAGGGGATTTCTGTAATGTTGAGTATAGCCTTCCGGGTTAGTAGATCTTTGTGGTACTTTTCCCACAAGATTTAGTTCTTTTTTAATTTTTTTTTAAATTTCAGCATATTACAGGGGTAAAAATGTTTAGGTTATGTATATGGCCTTTGCCCCACAGGATCAGAGCTTCTAGTGTGTCCATCCCCCAGATGGTGAGCACTGCAACAATTAGGTGTGCATATTATACCCATCCCCTCTTACACACTCTCATCCCAATGACACGGGATCAATTTAGTTCTGATGAATATCATCTTAGATCTCCTTCCTCCTCTGGTTGCCATGGTGGCCTCGCCACTGCTTGATCCTGTCCAGGGCTCTCTCCATACTCTCTGACAATTGGCCTGGTCCAGTGTCTTTTGCTGTCCCAAGACAAAAGCATTCCTGTGCTACTACCCTGCTCGGGTGGAGCTCATTCAGGTCACCCATTTTCCTGTCTGCATCCGTTCCACCATGTTCTCATCTCTCAGGATCTTCTTTCATGCCCCACCCTCTTTTTGCTCCACTCACATGCCCTGGCTTCTGAGGACCTGCCTTGTTACTAGAACTGCCCGTGAATACTGCCAGGAAAGGGCTTGCTGTGTAGGGCAAACCCACAAGGTAATGGACATAATATTGGACCTCAGCTTGGATATGTATTTTCTAAAATAGATTTGGAAAAGGTCTAAAATCTCTCCCACTTTTAAGCACTTTACATAGAATCAAAACCCTCTAGCCCTATCTGACAAAAAGCAAAAATGAAAACAAAAATGGGGGTTTCATGACTGAGAAAACATTCTGGCCAATGTGGCCAATATCACCAATGTTATAACATAGACAGAATAACCCTGTCCTATTCTAAATCACTTGGTGACTACATAGGTAATTTAAAATTTGAAATTCTGGTAAAATACACCCAATATAATATTTGCCTCCTTACACATTGTTAGATATGCAGTACAGTAGTGTTAAGTATATTCACACTATGGGAAAGAATTTCCAGAACTTTTTTACACCCATTAAACATAGCTCCATTTCTCCATTCTTCCCATCCTTGGCATCACCATTTTACTTTTTGTTTCTATGAATTTGATTCTTCTAGATACTTTGTATAACATAGTTTATTTTTTAAACAGACAATAACAAAAGTATCTCCAGCAGAGAGAAAGAAGGAACCCCTGGTTTTAGTAAGTACCTAAATAATGACTTTAAGGCTTGTGATTTTCCTCAGTGTATTTTTATTCATTCATTTATTAATTCAGGAAGCAATGTGTTCCACAATGTGTTTAGGACTGAAAATCACAGTGTTGAACATACGAGCTCTGTGGACATTTCTGCAGTTTTAAGAGTCCAGCAAGCTATTCCATAATTCCTCTCTTATTACCTCCTGCTCTTTGACCTTAAGGCTTCCTCCCTCCTGTTTTTATCATCTGCCTGGAGAACATATACCCAATATTTATAATGAGCTATATGAAATCTTTTGCAATTTTTTCCAGACTCTATGGCCCACAGTTTTATGTTTATTTGTGCTATCCTCTACCTGAAATATATAGGTACTTTACCAAATGTATTTTTATATGTAAGTTACTTAAAATCAACAAATCTATCTGATCGATCTCTGCATTTCTAATGCCTGACACAGTATGGAGACGTGTGTGTTGAGTAAATGTTTGCTGGCTGACTGTGTGTATGACAAGTCAGCACTGCACTTTTATTCTTCTGCTTATATCATTACATACACCATTGGATCACTCAGAAACAAAAAGATTTCATTACATGCTGGCTGAGCTATATCAGAAACTCATACCTGAGTTTCTTTGTCTAGCAAGGACTACACAGACCAATCAAGTCAAGGCTGGTTTATTGAAAATATCAACAACCTGGATAAACTTCTAGTTAGATTAATCTAGGGGATAAAAGAAAAAAAGAGAAAACACAAATGACCAATATAACGAATAAAGGTGGAATAACATTAAAAATCATATGGATTTAAATTTATTATAAGGAAATAACAATCTCATCAATAGATTTGACAGCTTAAGACAAATGGATAAATTCCATAAAGATATAAATTTTTAGAAATCATGAAACAAGAAATAGAAAAGCTGCATAGCCTTCTATGCTGTTTAAAAATCAAATTTGACAGTAAAAACATTTTCTAGAGTATAGCACTCTGGGTTCAAATGGCCTCATTAGTTCACCTATTAAACAATACAGGAGTCCCCCTTTCTCCTTGGGAGATATATTTTAAGACTCTCAGTGCATGATTGAAGTCACAGATATATACAAAACCCAGTGTATACTTTGAATTTTTTCTATATGTAGTTTTTATAATTTTTTTTTGAGGCAGAGTCTCGCTTTGTTGCTCAGGCGAGAGTGAGTGCCCTGGTGTCAGCCTAGCTCACAGCAACCTCAAACTCCTGGGCTCAAGCAATTCTTCTGCCTCAGTCTCCCAAGTAGCTGGGACTACAGGCATGTGCCACATGCCCAGATAATTTTTTCTATATATATTAGTTGGCCAATTAATTTATTTCTATTTATAGTAGACACAGGGTCTCGATCTTGCTCAGGGTGGTTTTGAACTCCTGACTTTGAGCAATCATCCCGCCTCCGCCTTCCAGAGTGCTAGGATTACAGGCGTGAGCCACTGCACCTGGCCTATAAATGTTAATTTATAAGTCTACACAGTAAGATTAACGTATATTAACGTTAAAATAGAAGCAATTAAAACAATATACTATCATTATTACTCTCATGATCTGTGTTCATTATTAAGTAAAATAAGTGTTACTTGAAAACACACACTTTGGTACCATGATAGCCAATGTGATATAAAAATAATAAAAAATGTGGCATATACAATGTGGACAGGCTGGACAAAGGGATGATTCACATTCCCAGTGGAACAGAGTATGGGGGAGAGTTGAGGCAGAGCTCTGAGGAGATCAGTTGCTTTTCTCCATCAAGCCTGTTCCCTTAGATAGGGGTCGCTACAGAGAATAAGAAAATTGATAGGAAATAGAATAAAAGGATATTCAGAGACTAAGGTCCAGTTTATAGTTTTATATAAAAACATCACATGAAACAGTGAGCTTACTCAAGAGACTAGACATATACCCATGAATGTCTAGCAATATGGTTAGATTTACATAGGTTTTTATAATCAAAGATATCAAATATCAGTTTTCAGGGTAACATGTTAAATATCAAGGAATGCAGTTATATGGGAGACATGCAGTGGGTTGGGGTCAAAATTCTTCTCAAAGGGTTTCAATTCTGTCTGGGTGAACAAATAAGTACAAAGTCTTTCAAGGGCTAACTTCTAAGTTCTAAGAGGTAGTCATCAATTAACAAAGGTATAACAAAAGAGGTATAGTGACCCTATATTTTTTTGATCTAGTTGTTGTGGACTTAAAGGTAGACAGTCAGGGGAGAACAGGGAACAGATCTCTATAAACAGGTTGCTTAGAACACAGAGGCATGTCTCTGGCCAAAGGGCACTCATTGTCTCTGGGTCCCCTCCTGCCTTGTATTTTAAGGAAATACACTGTATTTTAAGGAATACACTGCCTTGTATTTTAAGGAAACAGGGAAGCTCACAGGTATTGAGATACCAGGAATCCTTTCTGGAAAAAATCCCTACCGGAGCCATGAGAGCCCTCCCTTTATAGCAGCTTCTGATAAGTGAACTATTGAGTTCACACATTCCTTCAGGGCTAAACCCTGCTAACCCCTGTTTCTGTCTTTAATATAGTAACATAGGGTGATACAATAAAATAATGGTCTTATTAGATACATCTCATTAATTCCTCAATCATATTTTTTCCAACATATTCCCCCTTTTTATTTTTATTAGAAATGAGTTGATTCAGTTGTATGTCAATGATGGTGATGTGTCGATCCTCTGACTGCTGTTTTTTTTTTTTTTGGGTTTTCAGTTTATAAATAACAATAAATGAGTAAAAAAAAAAAAAAATAATAATTTAAAAGCTTATATGGTGGATTTTTATAGATTTAGTTGAGAAATGATCATGCTGACTAATAATAATTCAACTGGAGGAAAATTTAGTTTGTGACGGAAGTATTTAATATATTTCCAAGAAATAGAGTTGATGGTTATATATATATCACAACAACATACGAGAGAGTTATAATTAAACCAGGAAGGATTATTATATATATATATATAATCTCTCTCTATATATAATCTCTCTCTATATATATAATATATGTATATATATAGAGAGAGAGAGAGAGAGAGAAATACATATTGAGTAATATTCCTATCACAACAGAGCCTAAGTTGCTTTTGCAGACTTATGACCTGGTCTCCCAGTAAGGTGACTGCTTGTTGTAAGTCAGTCACATAAGTAGCCAATTTGCTATCAATTTGATTCTGAGTGGACCATACTTGATTTGATTTGGGATGCGAATTTTGAACAAATTCAGTAGTTTGAGCTGATTGCTGTAATTCAACACAGACCGTGGTGGCAGATGCAGTGACAGCAATAATTCCCAAAGTACCTGCTATTAATAGACCAATAAATCTTTTTGTACATTTAAGACTGTGGGTAAGTAGTTTATTGAAAACAAACATTACTGGGCTTTCCTGCCAAATTCTATGCATTTCAACAGGTAACCACAGCCCTGTTCTGCCTTTCAGAACACTATAAAGTGTTTCTTTATGAGGATTGAATTTTATGGAATAATCAATACAGGAAAAATAAGAACAGTTGTTACAAGTCACTAAGATGGAAGGTTCATCATAGATAGCATGTCCAATCATGAATAAGTAAGGCAATTTAACACAAGGTTGAATATAATGAGTAGAGTTTAGGTACAAATTCCACTCTCAGCTTCTGTCTATATCTAATGTGC